TCATAATTGTTTATGCAATTTACGAAATTATATTTGATTTTTATGAGTTAATTTAGACGTAATGCACGGCCCCCTAATAGTCGACTAATCGTTAGTCGACCAAAATGTTATTAGACGCTCAGTCGCATAGAAAAAAATAAAAAATAAAAAATTAAAAAAATCCACAGGTGAAGTCACGCAGTTCGTGACGGACAGATCGTTAACGGCTAACGTTAGTCTACGGTAATACAGTACATCAGGCAGGACATCCAAACGCTCGCCTATCATTCATCGACCTTAAATATGGCTTATCATCTGAAATATGTAAGTATTAGAAAGTTTACATGGCTGCTCAATCTAATGTTAACCTAGAGAAATGTGCGCTATTGTGTCTGTGTGGAGTGTAGAAGCTGAACAGCAGCGCGCGCATACTGCAGGACAGATGGAGGCGCCGGTGCGCTCACTTGCTCTTAAAATAGGCTACTCTGTCATTTTTTGGTCATTCAGATAAGAGTAATACATCAATCTGTAAAGACTCAACGTTTATTTGTGTGCACTCACAATAACAACAAAACGCGCTTTTTTAAAATAATGAAAGCAAACAGGATGCGCTTTCTGCCGTCTCGGTCTGTGAACTTGAGCTCGAAACTCCGTGTATATCTTTGCCTTACAGACATTAAAATACGTATATATAGAGAGAGAGTGAAATGTCTGCTTTCAAATGAACCAATTCAAATGGAAAACAAATATTCTCAGATTATGTAATCCGTATGAAACAAGGTGCATCACTATGGCGGAGATGACGTGTCGCCGAGTTCATCTCTTAAACCGAGAACAAAGAAAGCACTAATTTATCAAATTATTAAAATGTTAATGCAGTCTCCTTACTGTTTTTCCCTGACACATTCATAATCATTACTTCTGCCGGTGCGCTGTGGCAAGCTTTATGCGTGTGCTTGAGCGCTTATGGCTCTGTAGGCAATCAAAGGCTCATTATAATGATTTAAACAGTTTATTAATAAACATGCGATTAGTCGACCAATGCTTCAAATGAACGACTACTAGTCGACCAGAAAAATCCTTAGTCGAGGGCAGCCCTAGTTTTCATAGACAGTTATTTCCTTGAGTTGACAATTTAAATGCGCTATTATTTTGCTAAATGCTGTATTATTTTTACACCCTCCTGTGGCCTCGGGAGACAAGACAAAAGTTTCCTTAAAACCTATTTAATCTGCATATAAAACATTAGAAATTAGATATTTGTTTAATTTTTATTTTGTGTTTGATTGTTAAAACAAAAAATATTTGTTGTTTGTCTCAATAAATTGGGTTAATTTAAAAATACAGTGGCTAGATTTAAAAAAAAAAAATTATATTGCTCTGTTTTAAAAAAGGTTATAAAAAATGTCAATAATTATCGATACCGAACAATATGAAACATTATATCGTTGATAAATTTTTTAGCTATATCGCCCAGCCCTAATATATATATATATATATTTATATATTTGTAAAATATATGTTAAAATAAACATGAACATGATTCATTCGTGAATGTGTATCTTTAAGTACACTCACGTAACATACGATCAGAAAGCGAAGTGGATGTGAATTCAGTGACAATTCTGATAGATCTGATCAAGAATGATTTAAACCTGCTAACTTGCAAGAATTTTTTGAGTGCCTCACTAAAACTTTGAATTATTTCAGTTTTAATATCATCACACTCAACTGAAACTGCAAACTCTTTGGTAAAAATTTCTATTTCCATGACAGTGTAAATCAATGGTTCATCGGAACAGATTTGAAGAAATTTAGCATTTCATCACTTTCTCACCAATGGATCCTCTGCAGTGAATGGGTGCCATCAGAATGAGAGTCCAATAAAATAAAAACATGACAATAATCCACAAGTAATTCACATGCCTCCAGTGAAGCAAAAAGCTGTGTGTAATAAACATATCCTTTAAGACGTTTTTAACTTCAAACTTTTAACTTCACAAGACATTAATCGATAGACTGGGGTCGTGTGGTTTACTTGTGGATTATTGTGATGCTCTCATTCTGACGCCACCCATTCACTGCAGAGGATCTACTGGTGAGCAAGTGTTGTAATGTATTTCTCCAAATCTGTTCAGATGAAGAAATAAACCCATCTGGATTGCCCAAGGCTGAGTAAGTTTTCAGTAAATTTTCTTTTTTGGGTGAACTATTCCTTCAATTTTTTTTAAATAAGAGAAAACAAAAACTTAAATCAACTTAAAATCAAGACATTTCTTGTAATTCAACCCTTCAACAACTGTTTTTTTCTTTGAAAAACCTCGATATATGTAGCCTTTCTCTAGACCTGAAAAATACATTTTTATATAGATTTTTCAGGCATTTTTGTATAGATTTTTCTAGTTATGCAAAGCTCTTAAATATATTTATTGGTTGAAAATTGTAGAAAAAACATTTTCAGTGAATCACAAACAACGGGAAAAGTTATGGGGCCTTTGAATATTATTGTGGACAATGGGGACCATAACATTACTGTGCTGGAAATACTGTCATAATCACAGTAGCGACTGAACAGTAATCTGTGGTGTTCAAGCAACCACAGCATAAAGAGAAGTGATGGAGCAAATCAGTGACATTGAGCTTGAACTGGGAGAGTGAGACACTCACTGTTTTCTGCTTTTTGATCACTCCCAGATTTTAAGTAATGAGCTGAGTTTGGCCTGAGAAAGTCTGGATGTCTGAAAACCGACCACCAGGGGGTCTCGGAGCACACACATAAACACAAATGCACGCACACACACACACACACACACACATACAAACTTTCACTCACCCGCTCTCCAGACCGTGGCCTCTTCTTGGGTCGTGTGGGCAGCGTGTCCTCCTTTGGATTTGTGTCGATTGCCCAGTACGAACCCTTAAACAGGATGAGAACGAATATTAGTCCCTAAGCAAGTCATCATATTCTAAAACAGTGGTCAGCTTAAAGCCATTCAATAAAACTTTGATAAAAAGCAGAGCACAAAAATCAGCAGGGTTTCCAAGAGAGAAACTTCTGTTTCTGTTCAGTATCAGATACTGGGCGCATTCGCCATCAAACACGTACAACTTTTAGTTCATCAAAGTTTCAGCGAGCTCATTTGTAAGCCCATCACGTCGGGAGGACATTCACGGAGCTATATGTCGAGGTGAGAAGAAGTTGGGTCTTTTGCTACAGCCGTTTCTTGCACTCTCTCGCTTCGCATTTCTCCTGAGCCCTGGCAGAATCTGGTAAAATGTTAAGCCCCTCTTCCTCAGCTGCAGGTTTATCGATCGCTCCTGTTCAGGGCTGGACACAGAGGTGTTGGATTTCTGGTCAGGTCTGAGCTCTGATAATCAGGCAGAAAATAGCACACCTTGGTTTGGGGCTGCTGGTATCCAAGCACCCAAGGCCCTGGCTGAATAATTTATCTTTGCATTCTTCCGGTTTAATTTATTTTTCAATAGTGCTGCTCTTCCCAGAAGCTAAAGGCAACTCTGGCCACGAAGTTAGACAAAAATAAATTAACCTCCAGGCTTGGGTTTTATTTTAAAATATTTCATATTATATGGGATAAGATCTCAATTGTCCAGAGAGGGTGCGATCAAGACCTTTAAAATTACTTGTGCACAGCTTGTGCGTTGCACCTAAGCAAGGAGAATAATTGAAAATCGCCAAAGGATTTGTCTAGACAGAACGCTTCAGGATCCTCAAACGCTTGGCCTCCGAAGACATATTGATAAAATGATGTAAATTTCTGAATTTAAACAGCAATACAGCACAGGTTACTAGCCACGGAAATGCAATGAGCAAAGCTCCAGTACCCAAACAGTTTTTTGCAGCCTACCTACCTTAAGAAAATAACTCATTATCCCTGTTTTAATACTGTTACAGCCATTTGTTACCTAAGTGTGATGACAGCTCCAAAATAATCTAACCAATCGCAAAGTTCACAGCATTACGCCTTGCTTTAATATGCCATTTTTAGGCCTTTGGAAGCACTGAGCCTGAAGAAAGGATGTGACATAATTAACATTAATCAAATGGTAAACTTGGCATTCAAATTTTAACATTTATGAATGCTTATTACTTTGTAGAATTCAACCAGTTAGTCATTATAGTCATTATTTAATCATCATAACTTTTAATAAGAGCCTCATCTAATTTTACAATTATAAGGACATTTTTAAAAAGGAGTGTGTGTGTATACATATATGCATATGTGTGTATATACATATATGCATATATACATGTGTGTAAAATAATTATTTTTTAATAAATATAATCATATACACACACATGTAAATCCTCATACTAAATTAAACAATGAATGTATTTATGTAATTAATGTTCCCTAATGCACTGATCTCTATAGAGTGAAGCATCAAGTTACATCATTACCCTCAATGCCATGCTGCACTCAGACCAAACACTGTAACGTGATGCTTAAAATTGTAACAGTTTTAACTTGCCACGGATTACCCGGGCATATGCACGACGTATCATTAAAAGAGTGTTGCGACATGTGCTGCATGTCAAAAGCATATCATGACATTCAGAGAATAAATCATCATATTGTACACTAGGGCTGTCAAAAAAAAATCGAATTTCGTCGAATTTAAAATAAAAATCCACATTTGAATGCAAAAACGTTGCATTCGAATTTTAGGTGTGCGTTATGCCGAGTTCACACTGCACGATTTTCAAACTCGTTGGATCGCCGTTGTTTTCACACTGCGTGACTATCTGGGGTAGCATTCAGTTGCTGCTGTGTTCACATTGCACGATGGATCGGCCACAGGCTCTGTCTGGTCCGCAAACTACGTTTCACAACAAAACACACGTGAGAAGTGATAAGGAAATAACGCGAGAACCCACGTGCGTCAGACCGGAGTTCTCGCGAGCAAGACTATAATTATTAAAAAAATATATATATAGCCCGCAAAACCTGTCGCTTTCCGCCCTTTGTATTAAACAATGCATACATACATGATGCTGTTTTGTTTATAGTTGTTTAAGCAACTTAATTATAATTGGTTTATAAACATTATTTTAAACATTATGCACTTTTTTTCCGCAGATAGTCATGTTATCTTATGCTTTGAATGATGCGCCCTCTTGTGGCCTCAGGAGAGAACCCAAAAGCTTTTCTTCACCCTAACTGAAATTATGCATTTTAAATTCGAATATAATTCGAATTTTGATAATATTTAAGTAAAAAATTCGAATGTAGTTTTTCAGCCATTTTGATAGCCCTATTGTACACATTATCTATTCTATGCAAATTAACAAAGCGCATAGCACTTGAGTTGAGAGTTGCGCACATGTGAAAGGGTCATAAGTTTCTTTATAAATTCTAATGTAGCATGAGTAGCCTAACAATGTTAAATACTACAGGTAGTGAGTGCTCCCACACAATAAACAGACTAGATATACAAATAGTTTAACAAATAGAGTAACATGATCTTCACCCTGCATTGCCATTTATGCATTATATTCCAGCATTAGACCAGCAGAGTTCATAACATGCAGGACAATCTCACTGTATTAAACACCCTCGTGTTCTTTATTTCAATTTAAATGATCATGTTCCTGTAATTGATGCAGTGACGATGAAGGACAGCTGAAGGTGACTGAGAATGCTAGCAGTCTGTTACACTTAGCAAATGTAATTTAAATTAAAACTACTGCAAGACACTTTCACTGTGGAAGGGGAGGCTGAGTAGCTTTCCTTTTAATTAGCTGAAAAATCTTGAAAAACTGAAAACCCTTGGGAGGGGAGTATCTGTAGGCTGCAACACAATCCCTAGAGAGAAAGCAATGTTTAAAGAAATCCATGAAAAGAGTTTACATGAATCTGAAATACAGGGCAATACAATAAGATTGTGTTGGGTTACTTCTTTAGATTATAAATTCGGCTGAACCCCAAAATTAACAGCCATTAAAGCAATAAGCTAAAGAACATTAACACGCCTCCCTTTACAATGTCCATCCCAAATCAAGTATTAAAGGATAGCTCACCTAAAAATGAATATTTTTCAAAATGAAGTAGTAAAGTAAATTTATAAGATTTAATTTTGTAAGCAACTTACAAACGAGAACAATATAAATATATTATATACTATTGTTCAAAGTTTAGGGTTGGATTTGCATTAAATTGATCATCAGTAAAGATGACAGTAAAGAGCGAAGGATCATGTGACGATGTCTGGAATAATGTCTGCTTTAATATATTTTAAAAATATATTAAAATAGAAAATAGTTTATTTAAATTGTAATATTTCACAAGATTACTGTTGATCAAATTAATGCAGACTTTGTGAGCATAAGAGACTTCTTTCAAAAATACAAATATAAATATACGTATGTGCTGTTTTGCAATGGTTTAATGGTAACCAACTTAAAAATCGGAATTCTAGTGGAAATAATCAGTAAGAGAGTCTCAAAGCAGGCTAGATCTTTCTGACCAGAAGTCTACTCAAGGGCAAACGTGATTGGTATCTGCCCCAAAGTTCGGCCTTCCTCACTCTCAGCAGCTTCTGCGGATCACAAAGGTGAAGTGAACAATCGTTTTTGCCATCTCTGAGAAACACGCCTCAGTTACTATCTCGAACAAACAGCAGGGTCCATATTCCTGCCGTATTACAATATTGATGGAACATATCAAGAGAGCCCCGCGCAGCTTTGAAGTTCTCCTTCCAGGGGGGAGGGCTGTGTGGAAGGAGGCAAATTCCAAATTGAACATTAGGGATGCAAGCATGTTGGCCGTGCATTCGGAATAGAATCCATCCAGCGATAGATTATTTTGTATTTAGTGGAGCACATCCCAGGAGTGTCAATATCAGAGGATTACAGCAAAACATGAAATTAGCATTCAGTCCCCATCCCCTGCATGCCTCGGCTCTTCTTTTTATGTCGCGCTGTGAGTGTATGTGCGTGAATGCGCTCGCACAAGATGGCTGAGGATACAGAGAAATTAGTGTGTGCGTTTCGTGGCGGCGGTACTATATGGAGAAAAAAAAACAGGTTAACCGATGGGTCCATCGATGCTGTATTGATGAAACGCATGTTATCAGACGTGCACGCTTATTTTGCGATCTATATCGCTTGCACTCTGGCCTACACATGAATCAGTTTGGGTTGTTATAGCTCCGGCGGGCCAGGCTAGCAGTATGCCGACTGAGGGGAAGCAGGTGGTGGTCTTCCCCCCCTCTCGTGCAGTAAGTGCCGGGCTGAAGTGCTTTCTCCTCTCCCCGAGAGAGCTCCGGAGAGTGCTTTTAAAACGTTACTGCGAGTGCTCGCTCTCATCTATTTTCACAAGGATACATATGCATTTTTTAACGGCCGAATCTGCTCTGGAAGCAGCATTTTGTATTTAACAAATGTACAAAACCTGCATTTCTGAATAAAACAGCACTACATATGGAGGAAAAAGAGAACGCTTACCTTTCCCGGGTCATCTTTGGAGCGAGGCACTTTGAGAAAACACTTGTTCAACGAGAGATTGTGCCGTATTGAGTTCTGTAGGAGGAAAGGGAGACAGAGAAGTGTTTAGGTTGTTTATAGGTTAATGAGACTCCCGCATGATATTACACTACAATAGTACCTAAAACCCTCATTTACATGCAGCCTATAGCGCGCTGTCAGACGGCGGCGTAGCATTCGCGAGCATGTAGGGTCCCTGCAAATAAGAGAATATGAATAAAACACTGGGGTATTATAACCCAATAAAAAAAAGCGGGACGATTAGGACGACTGCAGAATATTGAGACTCCTAAACTCAATAATAAAAACCCCTGACTCAACTATTTTTAACTTCACAGAGATTTTTACTTAACTTTTTGAGATTCCCACACATGTCCGAATGCACTAAAACTGATGTGACAAAAAAGTCCCATACACAAAGGATGTCCTGAGGTTAAAAAAAAAAATGTTTAATAGCATAGTAATTAATTAATCATCCTGTTCCTCAGGGGGAAATAAATTATGCAAATAATTTTTTTTAAACTTCCACAATTCTTTAATGAGCAAAAGGTAATTTTTCAGCATGTGAGGGATGAATCAGCAGGAGGTGGCATGAACGCACATCATGCCTTAATGCTTGGCACGTTCCAGCTGGAGCTCAGCCAGCCACTTGGCTTAAGACACTAGAATTGCACAGGTTTTGAAATCATTTGACCAAATTGTATTGACAGACGGCTGTGATTTAAAAGCTTTGGGATCTTTGCATGAGCTGGTCTGGTGTGGAACGAGCCTACCGTGAGAGAAACACTCGCGAGAGAGGAGATTAGATGAAAATGCTAAGCAAACACACAATCTATGTTAATATGTGATGAATTTTTGTGAAAGAACTACCGTATAACATCTAATGAGGGCAATAACAGGCCGTTTCCACTGGGATGATCAGGGTTGATTGCAGGTGTGTGTTAGATGTTTAACAGTGGACTAAAGGGAACGACACGTCAAGGTAAGGGAGACTCCGACTGCATCAGCAGTACCGAAACCATTAGCAGCAATAAAGGTGAGCTCTACAGGACAGCTGAACCTGATAGTTCATGAGATGCACGCATAAAAACAAAGCAAAGGCGGGTCAGGGCAGTTTATAACCCATCGCTGAACCTGATGGGCTCGACACATCTGTCCACAGACCCTAATCTTGTAGCACAGTTAAACTTTAGCAGCCTCAGCACCTCTACACACTGCAATATCTGAGGTTAGTCAGGCAGACAACGTCACGGTCTCTCCCTGGAAAAAAATAAACACAATGTCAACTACATAAGCCTGCTCTGTAATAGCAATGTGCACTTTGGTCATTTTGAATGCTCGAGTACTTGACAGATAAAACAGAAGAGTACTTGAAGTCGGAGAGGGCAGATGGAGCAAGACCTTTCTATTTTTTAATTAGTATAAATATGCATCAGATGGACATGCTTTTGCAATCTGTACAGGCTTCCAAGATCATTGAATGAATGAAACGGATCACTTTCTTCTTCAAAGTAATGATTCTGTGACTACCTTCTATCGGGTTAGGTGGCAACTAGCTTAAGTGGACATGCAGGTCAGACAGGC